GTCTGTGACACATGGGTTTGCAAGAGACAGTTCATTTTAAATCACTGTGCTAGATGGACTAGCCAATGAAGAATCAGACTTAAGTCCCCATGTACAAAGGAGTATGCAGTCTTGGGAGGGTAGAGAAAAGGGACATCTCTTTTCATGAGGTAGAGATTCCAACACAATTGAGAGGTGACACAGCTGTTAAATCTTAATAGGCACAGAAACGTAACTGCCACATGATCTCTATAGAAGCCACTCATAGATAAAGAATGGAATGGGGTTACCAGAGGTTGTGGGTAACGGGGAGTCAAAGCTATGGGGCAGGCTAGTAGGGTTTCTATACCTCGAATTGTCCCTAACCTATTGGTATATAGATGTGCAGACTACCTAGAATGCTGCTGCCCTTGGATGAACTGTATCCCTGTGCACGACTGTTACATGCATGCATTTTTAATTAGGTCCCCTATGTGTCAGGCTTAGTGCAGTTCTGCTCCTGGTCTGAGTACCCCAATCTCTTGTTGCAAAGAGGATCTAGGCTGCTTAGACTTAACAGCCAGCCAGTGTTCCTCACTCTGGGCGTAAAGTTTTGCTCTCTTCCTGCTATTGGCCTGGGTTAGCCTCAACACCTGCTGCATAGCCCACCCTGATATTTCTCTGGGCTTCCTCCCACGTGGCTTCTGCTCTCGGTTCATTCTCCAGTGCTGCTGGCAGCTCTTTCACCTATTTTGTGCTCCAGGGATTTCAGCTGTCTCCTAGTTTTGCTGAAAATGGAGTTTGCAAATTTTCGTTTCCCTTCCTCTTTGTTGCTTTTGGATACTCTCCAAGCAGAGAAGGAGCTGTACAAATTGCACGGGCCAAGTTCACACCACGAGTTGCCTCCTTTATGGCTCTCTACTTCCATTATTTTTCCACAGTTGAAGTCTGTAAATTCAAAGCAAGGAGGCTTCTGACGAGGATGGCTAATAACATGATTATAGCAGTTTTCGTGAATGAAATGTTATTACCAAGATAATGGGAGAGAACATTAACTCTATGGGTCTCTCTTGATTAGGCACACAAAGCCAGACTCAATCGAGGCCACTGTTTAGTCTTCTTTGTACTGACAAATTCGAGGACTATGCTCTTTTCTCTCTCTACTAGATAAGAAATTAATGCAATTAATATCCTAAAACAAAACTCCTAACCTTCTTGCTCTGATTTAATACATCTAATCTTATACACATTGTCTATCCTACATGTGTAATTCTGTTTTACAAAATACTATTCATTTTCTTACATGTATTTGATTATCATAGGAGTTGGATGTGTGTGTGTGTGTGTGTGTGTGTGTGTGTGTGAGTGCATATTCGGAGGTTAGAGGACAACTTGCAGAAATCTGTTCTCTCCTTCCACCACATGGGTTCAAGGGGGTGAACTTTTACCCACAGAGACATCTTATCCAACCACCATTCACTATAAAATTTATTTATTTTTATTGCCACTGAATTCCTGGAGGAAAAGTGACCACCCCTTGCCATTTTAAAGGAGATATGCAACAAAACTGAAAGTAGAAAGAAAAAGGATGCTCCAAATTACCAACTGAACATTTATTTGAAAGAAATGTATTTTGTTTCATTGTCAAGACTTTCTGGGTATTGGCCCTTTTCACAGCAGTTTTATTGTGGAAGTTAATATCATCTTCTACTTCAGATCACATCCTTTTCTCATTACAGTGAAAGTTTTAGAAGTTGTCTCAAAACACCCAGATTGCAAAGAGAAACGCACATACTAACCAGTTCCTCTGAATGTAGGACACGAAACCTCCGTTCTAATTTCCAGGTAAAAGTGTTCTGCTTGTTTGCACCTGGACTTTATTTTAAATTTGTAGTAGTTCTGCCCCATGTTTAATCCTACTTGAATGATAGATACATTCTACTATGCTACTTCTCTTTTCATTAAACAGTGACTCCAGAAACTAAGAGTTTGTGGCAGGAAAAACTAATTTTGATGAGGCTAAGTGGGATTGATATTGAAATTGAAACAGTCTTCTTCACCTCCGTGTCCCCTCAGATTCCTTTCATATCTTAATTGTGGTTTGTCAGACCTATAAATTGCTTCTCTGAGGAAAGTTTAAGAAATGAATCATGTGTTTTAATCCTCATTAGTGGACAACCCCACCCCGAATTTTCCCACCTTCTAATTTCAAATACAAATGGTGAATCGTGAATTCAATGGGATTTTCTTTAGCATGTTTGGCAACCTCTTCACATTTCTGGCTGTAAAGAAACCTGATTTGAGATTTTTTATTACAAGAAGAAGTCATTTATTGTCTGAATAAAATGTGTTGGTGAAATGTTAAGAGAAGGACGTGTGTGTGTGTGTGTGTGTGTGTGTGTGTGTGATGTAAGTTGAGAAAAGTTTATATTGTCATATTGCATCTTTTTGAGGGTGAATCTTATTATCTTCTTTACGTGGATATTGTAGTATGTCCATTATAGAGAATATCTAAATTAAGTCACAAGAACAAAGGAAAATAATCCCTGTAACTGTCAGCTTCCAAAGCACCTGTTATATGATTGCCAAGTGATAGTAGAACAGGTAAGTACATTTTTCTATGTTTGAGTTTTGATTTAAGAGTACATATTCAGCATTACGTGGAGATACTACCCTCTGTTCTCTTAGGGGAGTTCATTCATGCAGGAAGTGCTGACAAAATAAAAGTAAAATGTAAATATGTGCAACTTTTAAAAAATGCAGTTTTTAGGTAGGTTAATGTATTAAGACAGTGATCAGATTTTAAACTTTGACTTTTTTCTTTTCCATCTCCCAGTTCTGTAGTCAATGTAATTATAGAGCAAAACGGAGGAAGAAAACAAATTCTTAGTCTCATAATTCAGTGACTTAAGATTAGGACTTGTATCTGCCACTTAGAAACACTTGAAAATGTGACTGACAAAGGCCTTCTTTCACATTCCCATTTGCTTTTAAATTAATGTCACCGTGGTCAAATGAACTAAGTGAACAATACCAAAAAAAAAAAAAAAAAAAGTTGGGTTTAAACTTCACTTGAAAAAGTGGCACCTTCAAACAGAGCTCCTTAGATCTTAGAGGATATTATTAATGAAAACAACTTAAGCAGAGAGGAGAAAGGAGTTGGAGAGACAGAGAGGAGAGAGGGAGAGGAAGAGAGAGAGAGCAGAAGCAACGATCTGGCTTAGATAAGCAACTATGACAATGTTAAGGATAATAGCTTATTAAGGTCACACTAGGGGCTGGAGAGGTTGCTCAGTGGACAAGATCACCTGTTACTGTTTGAGAGATTTTCTTCTTCTAGTCTCAGTCTTAATGGACCGGTTCCCTTCCACCCAATCTGGTCTCTGTAGCCGTTCTGACCATTGGCTCAGGCTTCTTCCTGGCTAGCTTTTTCTTAATTATTAATTATTAAACCTTTTCTATTAATCTTTGTATCTCCATGTGGCCTTCACTTACTGGCAATGCCTGAGGATCTTGCCTCCCTGGCGGCTACATGGCAGCTCTCTGACTCCACCTATTACCTTCCCCTATCCCTTTTCAGATTTTCTGCCTGGCTAAATCCTGCCTGTCCATTGGCTGAAACAGCTGTCTTCATCAACCAATAAGAGAAATGTATTCACAACACACAGAAGGACGTTCCCATCATGATGCTCTTGTAGATGATGTTGGTTCAGTCCCCAGCACCCACATGGTGGCTCACAGACATTCATAACTCCAGTTCCACAGGATCTGACACCCTCTTCCGAACTCTGCAAACAGGGCAGGCACACGGTGCACATATACATATGTAGGCAAAATACTCATAGACATAAAATAAAAATAAATAAGTCTTTGCAAAATATAACCCTATTCTATGCTATTGTTAAATTATAGAATCAACTGTGCTAAACCTCCACCATTGGGCATTTCAGCAATGTGAACCTTAAGATGTTATTTTTCAGGTATTCCAATTTCGGTTCAAGTTTTTAATCACTTGTAACTGATAAAATCTCAACCAATATGCAGTGCTTGCAAAATTCATTGGAAATAGCAGAGAAAAATAAAAGTGTATTTGTGGTGATTTAATACGTAACCAAGAAGCCCAAAGTGTGTAGAAATCTTCTTTCAAATGTCTACTTTCTTCTCAAAATTACTGAGAATTTTGTGTCATTCTTCACAGTAAGTGTTTCTGTTTTCAATGGGATAACAATGCATGTTTCAGAAAGAAACTAAAAGTAAGGACTTAACACGTACACAACATTGGCTCAAGTGTTTAATACAAACCATTACAGTTCCACAAAGTAAGTGCGATTTGAACTAGTATTCCCATTGTACAGACAAATATTATGAAACTTTGTAGGGAGAGACCCTGGATACCTGTACCACTGACCACACCCAAACGGTACGTAGAGGAGTAGAGAGAGGACAGGAGGCATTCTCGCTGGCTCTCTTGGGGTGCAGCCAGATTTTGGAAGCATCTGGGATCTTGGTGAATCAGAGTGCCTGTGTGAGTTTTCATTGCTATCATTTATAATATACTACCAATAACCATGTCTTGTGTACAGTTTGTGTTCCTTATCAAAACTTGGTTAAGTCATGTATTGACCGTTAGACTAAAAAGACAGTATTCAAACTCAGACAGTATTCAAATTTGTTCAAGTCCAGTATAAGCCTAGTTTCTATAATATTCCCTGGACTAGGAAGGACACAGAGCCTGGCAGCAGCAGGGGCTAGATCCGCCAGACTAATTTTAAAGAGATGAACATAAGGTTAAATATAAGAATAACTACCACAACCCTCTGCAATAGGGGTGGGGAGTACAACATTAGGTATTATGAACTAAAAAAAGCATAAAGAGAAAGCTGGAAGCCCCAGGAAGGAACTAGCAAGCTAAACAAGTAATATAAGCCTCGGCAGGAAATTAACTCCAGCTGTATATGGTTTATATTCTCCAGGGACCCTGAGATTCCAGTGAGCCTTGTATTGCCACTGAAACCCTTGGTAAGTTGAGCTGCAGAAACAGCCTGGTGGGATGGGTAACACAAGAGAGCCAGGGAAGCTGAGTGGGAAGTAAAGGGCATGATCTTGGGAGACTACTGAATTTGTTCCTTCCCTGTGAAGCTGGCAGCCATGGGAACTAAGCACCATAGACCCTGACTACAGGTATTTTCTGTCCAGTTACATAGTTCTTTAAATCTTGATTATTTTTCTGTTCTGGAACCTGTGCCTTGTTAGCTGAGGGTAAGTAAGAAGTGCTATCAGAGTTGTTTCAAATATGGAAATGTATTTTAAAAGTACTTGGGTCCAGTATTGATGGTGTACCAGAAGCCAGAGGCCTTGAACCTGACCAACAACACATTACATAAGGAGTTTTGCAAGTGAAGCTGCTTGGGCCGAGGGGTGTCCTGTGTGATGAACAGAAGCTCTCAGTGCCACTGAGATGAATGACAAGATGACAGAGAGGTGGGAAAAGACAGAGGCGCAAAGAGGGTTTTTTGTTTTTATTTTTGTTTTCCTTTTTGTGTTTTTTTTTAACATTTTTATCTTATATTCTTGTTTGTATCTTTGTTTTTGATTTATTCTTTGTATTTGTTTTATTTTTAATATTTATTTTGGGATTTCCCTGGGGTGGGGCACTACAGGGCTAAGGAGCAGAGGTGGAAGGGCTGGGAAATGGGGGGACTGGGAGCACGATGCTGAATCCCACATAACCAATTAAAAAGGGAACTACATGAGGATGACACAGAAATTTTAAAAAATCCCTTTAATATGAGTTAGTCTGCTAATGTTACACACACACATATCACAAACACACAAAACATTGTATTTTTTTTTTTTTTAAAGAACTACAAATCTATGTATCACCACTCCCAAACCCTCAGGGATGGATAGTCTTGGAGGAGAGAGCAAAGATCAGGGAGGACCAGAACAAATCCAAGTCTCCTTACTGCTCTGTTCATGAGCTCATAGCATCTCTCACTGCCTGCCCAACATCAAGCCAGGAACACCGTAGCCTGGGAAGGGCAGGCTCATGAGCCCCCATCTGTAACTGCAGTGCTATGGGCGGTTGATGGCTTCTGGGACAGAAGAAGTCAGTTCTCCTTGTGGCTCCGGGCAGGTCAACCACGACCCAAAAGTGTAAGAGTAGCATATGTTGAAGCTGATGGATTTTTATTATTTTTATATAAAATTCTCAAAGAATTAATAAAAATAATTATAATACTCCTGTGTCCAGGTGGTGAAAAAAGAAACATTCAAAGTTAGTTATTACTCATTTAGAATCCATAATTGATATATAGAACATAAAACTAAAGTTGCAGAGTGTTTTTCTTTTTTCCTATTTTGTGGAGGGAGAAAGACCAACGGAATCTGGTATTTTGCTCATTCAAGTAACAACAGACATTTATGTGGCTCTTTGCAGTTTGTAACTCTCTCAACCATGTTACCACATTTAAGTGTTTGAATTTACACTCAATATCTGCCTCTGTCTACACCTGTGGAATCGATGGTGTGCATGATGGCTGGAATAGATCTTGCTTTTAGTCTTCTGGTGTGAGCCTGTGTCTAAAAACAGTTTTGTAAAACTATGGGCAGTTTTATTCCTTGTCCTCATTCTAGTTTATTGATCACCACCACAGGCATTATGTTTAAAAGTACCAGCCTAATCCTTTGGGAAATCAGCCCATTCCCTAAGGGAAACTTCCAAATCTTCCAGCTTGTCATAAGTAAGTGCATGCAAACTAGAATAGCTGTCATGATTCTGTGTTGTGTGTGTTGTTTTCCACTGGGAAGCCAGAAAGAATTGGCTATAATCATACCCCTTTAAATGTAACAAAGTGAAATCCCAGGAATTTAGGTGGCCCACTGAGGAGCATATTTCCAGTGAAGGCTAGAGTTATAACTAAAACCCAGGTCTTCCTAGCAAATTCCATTCCTTCTCCATCCATATCACTCACTCCACTTGAGAAGGTGTAAGGGCTAAGGGGAAGAGTTTGTAAACAAACCCATGATGCTGCATTGAACAGAATAATACAGCAGTCTCACTGAGAAACCACGGGATTTCTGAATACTGTATTTGTAGTTCACCTTTGTGAGGAAACTTCATGCTGACCGCACCACTTTACAGGTTCCAGAGTCTCTGAATTCTTGACAACAGCTGTCATATTGTGTTATGCCATTTTGTAATGGTCATCTGAATAAATGTGAGATGTACTTGTGGTTTTGACTTGCATCTCCCAAGCGATGCACACTGGATTCCTGAAGACACGCAGCAGGTTCATAGAAGAGGCTGATGATAGCATCATTTTGCATTTTCTGAGGGCCATTTGTGTACCTTTTTTTTTTTTTTTGAGAAATGCCTCTTCAAGTCCTTTTTCTCAATTTTTAACTTGATTGCTTGTTACAGGTTGTAGGATTTCTTGTACATTTTGAATATAGTTCTTTATCAGATACATATCTGCATCCACCCCTTTGACCATGGACTCTTTATTCACCATAGCTACAAAGTGGAAACAATCTCCCTGCTGTTCATCAACAACATAAATTATGGCGTGTATAAACAATGAGATGTTCTTCCACCATGAAAGGAAATCCTGTTGTATGCTGTAATATGGGTAAAACTTGAAGACATTGTGTTAACTATAGTAAGCTCTCACACAAGGACAAATACTGCCTTATTATATTTAAGGTGAGTCATTGTCTTAGTCAGGGTCACTATTCCTGTGATGAGACACCGTGACCAAAGCAACTTGGGGAGTGTCTTAGTTATGGTTTCTATTCCTGTGAAGAGACAGACACCACGACCACAGCAACTCTTGTAAACGACATTTAATTGGGGTGGCTCACTTACAGTTCAGAGGTTCAGTCTGTTGTCATCATGATGGGACATGGCAGTGTTCAGGCAGACAGAGAAATAGCTGAGAATCCTACACCTTGCAGTAAAAGATTAATGTCCATGTCAAACTGAGGGAGGCTTGAGCAAAAGAGACCTCAAAGCCTACCCCTGAAAGTGACACATTTCCTCCAACAAAGCCACACCTACTTCAATTAGGCCACACCTCCTAAAAGTACCACTCTTTTGGGGGGCCACTTTCTTTCTCCACCATAGGGAGGACAGGGTTTGTTTGGGTTAGGCTTCCACATCACTGAAGGACATCAGGACAGGAACTCAAACAGGACAGGAACCTGGAGGCAGGAGCTGATGCAGAGGCCATGGAAGAGTGCTGCTTACTGAATTGCTCAGCATGGCTTGCTCAGCCTACTTTCTTATAGAACTCAGGACCAACAATGGGTTGGGCCCTCCCCCATCAACCACTAATTAAGAAAACACTTTACAGGCTTGCTTACAGCTCTGTCTTGTAGCAGCGTTTTCTCAGTTGAGGCTCCCTCCTCTCTGATGAGTCTACCTCCACTCAGATGACTTTAGCTTGTATCAAGTTGACATAAACCTAGCCACCATAGCTATCTAAAATAATCAAATTCACCAGAAAAGAAGGTAAGGGCTGGAGAAATGTCTCAGTGGTTAAGAATACTGGTTACGTATCCAGAGGAACTTGGATTCAATTCCCAGCACCCACATAGTAGTTTATAACCATCTGTAACTCCAGTTCCAGGGACCCTTCTGCTCTTTTATGGCCTCTGCAGGCACACTGTATGCAAATGGTACATAGACATACATGCAGGGAAAACACTCATACACGTAAAATAAAAATAAAATAATTATTTTTAAAAGGAGGAGGGTCAAAAAACAAGGAGGAGAGAAAATAGTGGTTACCAGGTAATGGGATGGGGGAAGGTATAATGCTTAGAAAGATCCCTCCTGTAGTTTGAAAAGGTTCTAGAAATTTAGTATACAATATTAAAGTGACCAATGCTGTATTTTACACTAAAGGTGTTTGGGAGGAATACTGGAATTGTGGCTCAGTAGTTGAGTGAGTAGCAGTAAGATGTGAGGGTCTGGGTTCAATCCCAGCTCAAGAAAAGAGGGAGAGATATTGCTTAAAACAAACAAACAAACAAAAATTCAGTTAAAACACAAAGATGGAAAGGTGAGAGAACTAAAAATAAAATTATTTTCACCATATCAAGTATTCTTACATTTAAATATAAATTTCTTGCAGATAATTACAGGTCTGGTCGTCACTTAGGCCAACCTTTGTTCCGTAGTGGGATCTTGGGGAAAAGCTGCCTGCTGAGAAGGGAGGTCTAAAGGAGACCAGAGGTAGAACCCTAGATGGTCTCCTCCACCCAATGGAGATTGGATCTCAAGACTCTTCCCTGTCCATGGCCCTCTCTCTGCACGCGCCCGCCCACAGACTTTAGCTGCCCTAAATTCACCTTTCTTGGAGCAGCAAGGAAGCTTGGATGGATGTTCAGTTCCGACTTTGAAACACGTTGGGAGGCAACATTATTTCTTTTCTTTGCTGCTGATTTAGAAGCATAAACTTGGTTACATTTTCCGCTCCAAACGACTGGCTGTTTTAGGAACTAGAGCTGGCTGGGAGGTTGAGGAGTGTGGAAACTCTGATGGAGAAGGTGAGGACCTGGCCAATGGAAAGCATTTTGGTGGGTCTAATGATTTTGGGAAAATCTCTGCAAGGCTGGAACATTTTGCCACACGTAAGTGGTTACTTCCTCACCTCTTGTGCATTCACTGAGGGCTCTGTGAGACTGAAAGGGCTGGAAAACTCTTCCAGCGTGGGTTTGTCAAGAGGGATATTCAAGTTAGGGTTTCCAAATGTGTTGCATGTAACAAAAGCCTGTATTTCTTTTCATTCAAAGGAGAGCTGCCTCATTCTGGTTCATTTAATTCTTGGAAACATAGTTTTATATGTCCAGAAAGCCCTTTGAGGGAGTATTGCAAAGGCTTTCACCCCCTCCTCGCTCCCCTCTCTGGAAGCAGGAAATAAGTTCTGCCAAATGCAAATGAGCTCAGCCTCTAACAGGCAAAGTGTCAAAGCACAGAATGCCACAGCATTTTGAGATCGCATGCCTTATACAACTGACGTTTGGGGGTCTGAAAAACTACAGGAAGTCACACCGACCTATTTAAAATGCCATTTCAGACACACAAATGTGTGTAGAACTTCCTGAGATGTCTGTTAGGAAGTCAGAAGGCCTCTCCTTCCTTTCTATGTTGGTTTCAGAACCCCAGGGAGCTTTATCGGTGTCTTCGGTAGGAAGTTCGCTGCGTGGTTTTGGAACAGGGAGTCTCCCCTTTTGAGTCACATATCCTAATGGGTCTGACATAATGCTGACCCCCTGAAAGATGGCATGGGCCACTGCAGGCCTTCCAAGGGTTAACAGAGCCAGTTCCAAAGGAGTGAGGCAACCACAGAAACAGGATAATAAATGTGACACTCTCAGACTATCACTAGCAAATATTTGAGCTTATCAAATAACGGAGGAAGTAGTTTAGTTACAAATAAACCAATCTCTCATAAAACTAGTTTTCACACAGGGTCATTTCATTGAGCTGGAGACAGCTAGAGGCCACTCTAGGCAGAACTCCCACTCTGTGTACACTTCGTAACAGCTTCTCATGATTAATGGACAGCAAGGGGGGAGGCTGGGCCCTGCAACTCTCTGGAGCTGGGCTTCCTATCAGCCCAACAGCCATAAACAGCAAGTCAGGATTACAGCATGGGAAGTGCCCGTCCTCCTCCGCTGGGAACACGGCCGGGTTTGCACTGACTTCCCCGCCACCCGCCTTCTTCCTAGCTGTTCACAGCTCTCTCTCTCTCTCTCTCTTTTTTTTCTCCCTGTATAGCAGAGACCATCGTGTCCTAGAAACTATAGTAGATGTCACTGCTTGGCACTTTCTGTGCAAAGAGAGGACAAGTATGTGGGCGCAGGGGGGTGGCGGAAAGCTACTCTTAAAGCCACAGAGACTGCATTGGCTAGGAGCTGGAGCCAGGCTGTTTTTCTGGAGCCCTTGAAATCAGCATGGCAAAAGCATCTGATTTGGATTCCAGAAAAAACACAGGCACTGTTTGAGGGTAGTCGGGGGATGGGGGATGGAGCCTCTTGT